TGTTTTGAAAACAGAATGGATGTATTAGGTGTGTTATAACAGACCTGCAACACGAAGGAAAAGACGAGTGTGAATCTAATTGACATTTTGAGTAGCCTACTTACAATCAAATGGTAACATCGAATTTATCTAGTTTAGGTTTCTCCGATATCATCTTCGATAAACAGCACGTATTTTAAAAAGAACTGAACAAACTTAACAATTCTATGGGGTGAGAAACGAACCACGGACTACATATTAATAAGCCAATAACCCGAGCTAATCCTTCATCCGCTAGACACACGAGTCATCACAAATGTTCATGAATTTCCTTCCACACAGAGGTTATTAGTTTCTGCAGACGGGTTACACAAAGAGAATATATACAAAGCTAATACATGTCTGTGGTGACTGGAAAAACTGTCTGCTCGTGGCCAATCATCAAATGCAATGTTCAAACGTACACTCACCGTATCAAAGTAAAAAATTTTGTTTCTCTTCAGCTGACAGCGAACCTTAAAAGATAAAATGGTATCAAAGTTTATAGGCAAATAAAAACGTCGAAGCCAGCAAAAGAGATGAGGCAGAAAATGAGATACGACTGTTAAAAGCCTCAAAAGAACCTTAAAAAATATTTTTTTTCGGGGGGGGGGGGGGATATTGGAGGTATTTCACATGACAGTTAAAAAGAATGGAAACAAAAGTAGGATACATTGAGACTTACAAGAAGGTAGGGATTAGTTTTGTATGCGTTTCATAGTAAGGAACTCTCAGCAAACAGAATACTAATTATGTTCTGTATCTACTTCAGTCCCAAACCCAAGTCGACAACAAAAGAAAATTTGGTAGTATTAAAAAGATCAACTAGTTGATGCTGTTTGAAGAAATTATCGCTGTTTGCAGCGAAAACCATACGAAACACATAAATACATGCGGAGTTACTGACTGCTAAAGCAATCGGCTTGAAAGGGTTAACGAAGCTGTTCTTATGGGTTCTGACGCCATGTGGACTAATAGGTAGATGTAAACGTTTCGGAGGAACACACTGCCTCCATCTTCAGGGCCGGTTCCTGCATCTATCTACAAGTTCACACGGCGTTAGAATCTCAAATCTCATAGAGACTTCCAGGATATGTAGCAGAAAAACCAACCAATTACCCTTTGCTAGCGAAATCCGAGCTGTAACAACATTTTGTTTTATTTCACGAATGAAATATTTCGCAATATATCTGCGACTTATTTTCTGGAAATTTCTGGGTTGAGAAGTAGCACGTTATTCAACCATTGTTTTCGTCAATACTCTGAAAAGTACAGAACTGAAGGTAATAACGATATTATATGACAAACAAATATGCTGAAAAACGTTACACCACACACAGTGACATAAGACTGAGACGTAAGTGGTGAATGTTCTAGAATAAGTGGTATGAAAAGTAAGAAAGACGAATAACTGTACGTGTAACCAGTTTACTTTATTCGCACAGCCTAATTTCCATTCCACATAATTTCTAAAGGAGTAAAGATCTGAAATATAATTTTCTTGTTTAATTTTTAATCATGCAACTGGGCAATTACTGCCTTTCTGAACTTTCAGTGGGACCTTCTACCCACGCCAAGGTGTTTATGGACCACTTCTATTAACGATCCACGGATTGATAATTTGCTTCCTCAATGAATAAATGAACAAAAAATGCATATGCTTTACCATCCAAAGTGATGCCATTAAAACATGAAAACTATCTGAAGCTTATCTGGCTGTATTTTTCACCTAAAACAAGAGATACATCCAACAATGCCTTTCTTTTGGGACAGTCTCACCCTGTTACATAATGCAAAGGAATGGCATGGAACAAAAGTTCAAACATCACTCCGTCTGACTCACTCTGTACCAAATTACAGTTGACGTTCGCATGTCACTGCTGTAGCAATGAATTTAAACGACCTTCGTACATACTTGAAACAGACCTATCTGAAACGCAGGACCGCCGTCTTTTCTCATCTGAAAGCCTGGAAACGGATATTTTATCTGTCAAATGTTTCGACATGCATCACCCAATAAAGTCTACCAATACACGAGGAGAGAGTTCAAAGGCCTGGCTAAACTATGTTATCAGCTTTTCTGCATTTGGATGTTAGTGACCTACCGGGCTGTTTGGGGAGTTGGGGGGGGGGGGGGGGC